TGACATGATATTTACTTTAAAAATAACTAAAAAAATGATTTGAACTGAGAGAGTATAATTTTTATTAAATATACTCGTTGATGAAAAAAAGAGAAAAAAGGATCTGTTTGTTTTTACAACACACTCAACCTTACTAACGAGGGGTTGGGTCAAGTAGTTAAGCGACTTGTTCCAGCTTAAGTAAGGTTTCGAGTTTGAAATCTTGTGTATGCAACAGCCTCCATTGGGAGACCTCCCCACTACAACCCGGTGCGCTACGTGGGTCGATCTGAATTAGTCGGGGCGAAGCCCCGAATATCGGACGGAAACAAAAAAAAAACAACACACTTAACCTTTGCATAGACGGCGTTACAAGGTCCGTTAATAGAGGGACAATAATTGATTCTTTTTGTAATAAAGGGATGAAATTACACCTTTAATTATAGAAAGTTTGGGGATTTTTCTTGGCATTATACCATCTCATGTGCATGTGGGGCTATCAACCCGTTACCATTTGACTTGCTTTTTCAGGTTTGTCGCGTTTCAATTATTGTCGTCGAATAGGTTTCCCTGCTCTTTTCTAAACAGTTTCTAGGAAGGGGTAAAAATCCATTTGAGTGTTTCTACGAAGGCTTACAAGGGTCATAAGGAGTTGTGGTGATGAAGCCATTCTTCATTATTAAAATCGCTTCTTCGCCATTTTTATAAACTCTCTTTTCTTCCATAACTTTGTTTCTTCTCTGCAAGCTTTAAGATCTTAATTTTCCAGGTACATATATACATACAAGCAGTTAATTTCTACTATTTTCACTCATTCATTTGTTTGATGCATTAAGACAAATTAAAAATTTTGATTTTTTAACAATTTGTTACGTTATATATGCTTTTGTTTCGTAGATCGGATGTCTTTAACTAATTTCTTATAATTTAATTTTCTTACATATTTATTTTTCTCCTCTTGGTTTGACGATAGTTATTTTTGCACCGAGATACCCTGCGCAAGGACTAAGATAAGGAGCTAGGTTTGTCTGCTTTCTTGTTATTTTGATCATACAATTTTTCAAGACCCGGTATACATGATAGATTTTTTCACATACAAGATTTTAGAGTTTAATATATTTTTTTTCTAAAAATCTCACCTCGTAAAATAAAATATATGGAGGAAAAAAATGTGTTACCATAAATTAAAGACGTTTAATAATGCTTTCATTTCTTATTTTTTGTTTTAATTTCATACAAAAAAAAATTTAGCAACCATGACAACTAGAACTAGAAATCAACTATATACCAAAACCAAAAATAAAAACTGGTAATAACTCATTTAATAAGTCTCAAAAATTAAAATGTTAAATATATTTGGAAACCAAAATTTTAATTAAAAATTTAAAAATTTAT